CATAGCTAAAGGTTTACGGTGTCGCATAAACTTATTTTAAAAACAAATACATTTTTTGGGATGATGGCATATCTGTTATTGTCATGTATGTGGTTTTATAGAAGTATCCTGACAATAGTTGTGCCTTCACATTCTCAGGAGTTTCTACTAATAGTTTATGTTGTATAAAAATTTTAGATACTAAAGAAATCAAAGAAAACTCTTAAAACATCACTCCTCATGCATCCACCCAAAATCAGGCCATCAATTATATGGTACATTTCATCAGCAGTAACTATCCTTACACCATGTTATTTTAGTATTTGGAAAATGTTTCATGATATATAAATGCTTGTCATTTATTTCAGCAATTTATTGTTAACAGAAACTTACATGTCTCCAATTTTTCATATAGTTAACAATGTTGCATCAAATGTGCTTGTGCTATCTTTACAAACTGCCATTTCTTCTATTTTGTGATGCAGTTAAAATACTCTATTCAGAAACTACAAATGAACATCAATGAAATGAGTATATGTGTAAGAATATTTATTTTAAAAATTATTTGAAAGCAGAAAGAGAGAGAGAAAGAGATCTCTTTTTCCCTTGGTCCATTCACCAAATATCTGCAATGGCCAGAACTGAGCCTATGAAACAAGAAATCAATAACTCCATGAATTTTTTCCTCATAGTTGTCAGGGGCTCAAGTAGTTGGACTATTTTCCACCTGTTCCCAGGTGCATTTGTAGGAAACTTTACAAAACATAGCAGTGTGGAATTGAACAAGTACTCTGTTGTGGGAAGTTTATTTCTTAAGTGATGACTGAAATCTCTGCCGTAATGCTGACCCCTCTAAGCGTGTGTCTAAGGGAGTTGCTCTACTCTTCTGCATTATAAAACTTGGTTTTATTTTTAACATCCAGAGCATTGCAAAATACTTTTTAAAAATGGGTTCTAAGATTTTTATAGCTGGTATTTGGCTAGGATATAAAATGACCATTCAGATTTTCTGATCAAGAGAACATTCTGTGAAACCATTGAACAGAAGAACTATCCTTTTAGTAATCAGAGTACTCAAAAGGATTGTAATTTTTAACAAACAGCAGTCATCCAAGAACTAAGCTTCAGACAATTAGATATAAAAATGAATTTTTGACTTCTACTTTGCTTTTTTAGTTCTTACACTACACCCACTTGGTACTAATTATAATTTTTGCCATGTTTCAATTTATCTTGGAAACTGTGATGTGTAATGCTGTAGTCATAGATTGCACACACACACATGCGCGCACACGTGCTTCTAAGATGACTTGCATCACTAATCCTGTGAATGCAAATAAATTCCTGAAAAGGCAAATTCCATTTTACCAAAGCTGTCACTCTTATACAAGAAGAAAAAGGAGAAAAAGATGAAGAAAAAGAATAGAAAAAAAATAAACAGAAATTTTATGTCATGGACACTTTTCACTTTCATTTAAAGATATGGGGAAAGTAATATTATTAAAAAATAAACTATCTCTTGAAATTTTGCAGCATCTGTATACAACAGCAACAGAAAGTGGCTGATGATCTCTGAGTGTGAAAGGGAGATCAAAATTTAATCAACATAACAATTAGGTGTAATGTCATTTTATGCTGATGTTATCCACTGCTTTTTCTTTTTTAAAATTAATTAATTAATTTAAATGATCTTACTTAGTTGATTAGGGTACAGAGGGTCAAGGACTACAGGCAAGTGAGTAATACCATTGCTTCCACACTAATATCATTTTTTTCCCTGTATGTGTTCTGTTGAAAACATTCAGTTTGACTTACCAATTCTGAATATGTTCTTTGAAAACAATCTTTTTTCACAAGATTATATTGCCACATATAATCTTGTGTTATTTTTAGTTCATGTTGAGCTATGATTAACTCGATCTTCATTTCCCTTTTCTACCTGTATTACTATAATCCAACTTTATTTACAAATGTAATAATTCTTTCTATTTGTAGTTTAGGTGAAGATGAAACTGAGGAAATGCTATTCAAAATTTACTGGTGAGCAGATTAAGCCACTTGCAATGTTAGCATTCCCTGTCCAAGTGCCTAGTCACGTCGTGGCAACTAGGCTTCCAATCAGCTTTTGCTAGAGCCTTTTGGAAAGCAACATAGGATGGCCCAAATACATGGGTCCTAGCCACCCAAATGGAAGACCAAGTTGGCATTCCTTGTTTTGACATGGCCAGACGTGCCTGTTATGGTCATTTGAGGAGTGAATCAATGGGTGGAAGATCTTTCCTTCCTTTCTCTTTCTTTCTCTGTTGCTCTGCATTTCAAATAAATTAATAAATCTAAACAAATCTTAATGAATAAAATTTCAAAAAGTTGGTTATATATATTATTGAAAAAAACAGAATTCAACTAAAAATGGAAAGCTAAGCTTACATGAAATACAATTAACCCGATAACTTCTGTATAATATCTATTTTGACCGAGATATAACATTCTTTTGCTTACCCATGTACTTGCTACATTTTACAATGTGTCTTTAGTATTTTAATGGTGTTGCTAAATAATTTTTATAAAGGTATTTACCAAAAATTGAATTCTATTTCTATAAGATATTAATGAATGCTCAAAATTAGATAAATTTCAGTAATTTTTGAATTAGATAATTCAGTAATTCAATAACTATTGCTGAAACAACTGGATATTCAATGCAAAAAGAAAAATTTAGACCATAACCTACCCTAATCTGACCTAACCTAACCTAAAAATTAACTAAGAATGGAACATAAACTTAAGTATAAGAATTAAAACAAGAAACTGTCCTAAGTACACGAAAGAGAAACTTTTTATAAAGAATTTAAGTGGTAAAAATGTGTTGAAATGAGCATGAAAGCATAAAGCAAAGCAAAACAGCTGCTAAATTAGTCAATTAAAATTGTATTCTTTGAAAGAAACTATTGAGAAAATGGCCTAATAAGGAGAGAACCAATGAAACAGAACTCTGAGGTTGTCCCAGACACCTTAGAGAAGGAGATTTACAGAGATTAGCCTTGATTAGACGATGATAGATACCAAATACAGCTGTGGAAAACGATGGGAACAGGACAGAAGTGTCTGCAAAAACAGCAAATGAGTTGTGTTTTACAGAACAGGACAAGGTCTTTTGCCATAAAATGAGATCTGGCCAAGTTGGTGAATGATTTGTTTAAAAGTTTATACTTATAGCAAACATTTTAGGTTTTGTTTTTGTAAACATGAAATTTCAGAGAAACGTATGTTACTTTTATACAGAATTCACCTTACATATTTGTTTTGGTCAAATTAACAATGTCAAACCGATATTTCAAACAAATTTTTTCCTGCTTTCACCTTTAGGCTTCCCTGTCCTTTAGCTATAAAATATTGTTTTCTACTGTCAGCTTACAAGTTGAATTGTTAAATAAAGTAGATCCTTTCAAAACTGGCATAATATAAAAAATTATTCTAAAGAACGACATTTGCTTAGTGTTAGGGAATCAATTTTGAAGTTATATGATTACAAAAATCAAATACTCCCTAGCTAATGAATCACTGAGGTAACAGTATTGATGATAACGAGTTATGATATGCAGTTGTTAGGTAAACCTGTTTTTATATAGCCTAGAATGAATGTATCATCTACAATGACCTATATAAAGAAACAGTAGATCTTTTTTTTTTAAAAAAGATTTATTTTTATTATTATTTTTTTATTGGAAAGGCAGATATACAGAGAGGAGAGACAGAGAGGAAGATCTTCCGTCCAATGATTCACTCCCCAAGTGAGCGCAACGGGCCGATACTATGCCAATCCGAAGCCAGGAGCCTCTTCTGGGTCTCCCACGTGGGTGCAGGTTCCCAAAGCTTTGGGCCGTCCTTGACTGCTTTCCTGGGCCACAGGCAGGGAGCTGGAAGGGAAGCGGGGCTGCTGGGATTAGAACCTGCGCCCATATGGGATCCTGGGCGTGCAAGGCGAGGACCTTTAACCACTTGCGCCACCGCGCCGGGCCCGACAGTAGATCATTTGTAAGGCATCCTCACATTCCTAGCTTTAGCAGGTTACTGTTTTTGATGTGACCCATCACAGTACAGAGGTTGATTTTCTGTGTTCTCCCCATTGCAGTTTTGGCATTCCTGGAAGAAGCACGTTAGACCTAACTGCTCACTAGTTTTATTTCTCAGAAGCACCATTGTGACACACAACAATTTCAAACTAAGTGACACAACAATTTCAAATTAAGTGTAAGTGCAAACCACAGAATTTTTGGGCTTCATACATTTCTTTGAAGACCTGCTAATGATTGTAAATGAGGTCATCTGAGCTAGAGTAATGCTAGAAATGATGATTGTTGTAGAATATGCTGAGCTTCCTTGTTTTAATTTTCTCCAGCCTGAAGCAGCTTATTAATCTACCTGAACTAAATTTAGCCTTGTAACTTCAAATTTAAAAACGTGAGTATAATATATGGAAAGCAGAAAGTCAATGGGACAAATAAGACAGCCTTTAAACATGTCAACAATGGGCCTTAGCTGTGGGAACTGGTTTGTAAGTATTTTCATTTAATTGCCCATGTTGGTGGGAACAAATCAAAGTGGATCTGAAAAGTCTGGATGCTGAGTTTCAATAACATATATACTGGCCTAAAAAGATGCAGGATGCAAGTGGTAATGACAGTTTTGGGTTAGGTACCTTTAAATATCATCTTCCTAATCATTAGTATTTGTTAATTTTTAGATCTTTATGTGGTCTGTGATTGAATAAAAAGTTGATCATCCCTTGTAACTTGTAGTTGAACTGCTTCAGAGGTGGGGCGAGTTAGTTTTTTTTTCTTTTTTTAAGATCTATTTTATTTGGAAGGCATATTTAATAAAAAGAAGGGGAGATACAGATAAAGTTTCCACTCCCCAAATTGCCAAATGGGTGCACACTCACATGGTTGCAGAGTCTCAAAGATTTGGCCCATCTTCTGCCGCCTTCCCAGGACATAAACAGAGAGCTGGATCAGAAGTAGAGTAGCGGAGACAGGAATTGGTGCCTATAACAGATACTAGCACCACAGGGTGGAGGATTAGTCTGCTGTACCACCTTACCAGCCCTGTGTGTTAGCATTAATTTGCTAATGATTTCCATCATCACATTTATAAGCCAAAAATGATGGATTCAAATCTGTTACTAATACTAGCAAAAATAACTTATTCACCCAATAATTATGTGTCAAGTGCTTGGCACTTTTCTCGGTGTTTGAGATGCAATTTAAGCAACAACAAAAAAATATTTTTAGATGATGTTCTTTTGGAGATACATGAAATTACATATATATAAATTATATATGTGTATTACATATATATAGACACATTACACACACGTATATAGGTAAATCATTTAAAATGAGGAAGAAAGGATCAGGGAAGGGAGATGCAAAGTCCCACAGAGAAACAATGTATTTGTATATTGAATTAAGTTAGTTAGGGTAGCAGATTCAATGAAAAGATAACAAGGACATGAGGTGAATGAGAGGGTGACTTACAGGTGTGTCAGTCTGCTGAAACATCAAATGCAAAGCCATTAAGCCAGAGTACTTCAAATGATTACTGGGAATAGCAAGGGAAGAGATAGAGTGGTTGGGTAGAAAGGAGTAAAGAAGTGAGAGGTAGGGAGTCAGGCCAGAAGGATAGTGAAGTGTGTAATCATATCTTTAATATGGAATATAAAAAGACTATGCCTAACAGTGCAAACTGAAGGAGTAGTTATTGAATCACACGTAAACACATTGAATTTGCCTTGCTAAAATTAAGGCTCTACTTGATTTAAATAAAATGACCTTTCAGTTGTAAAACTGCAAGATTAAATATATATTTAAGAAAATGGAATCCCCAGCGCCTATAAAACTGTACTACATAATACAATGTAAGCAACAATAAAAAAAAAAAAGAAAATAGGATGCAAAGTATGTTACAAAACATGTGCCTTTTTCTGATTTTCCACCATTTATATTTAATGAGGTAGTTTTAGTTAATTGTGGGTTCATGCTAATCCTAATTGATTCTTTCTTCTGACTATGCCCCATGCCTGAATCTAATACAGTTCCTAAAAGCAAAATTTACCAACCTGTATTAGTGGAAAGCAGCCAGTTTGGCAGGCGTATTTTAATTCTTAGTTACAGTCACTAAGCAGTATCTATTGGAATATATCTGCCTGGGACAGAACTAATAGAACTACCTCATCTCTGCTTCCTGTTAACCATGTAGTATGATTGATAAAGCCCTTAATCAGTTCAAATATAGCAGGCCTCCTTTGACCACATAGCTCGAGCCCTGAGGACCCATGAAGCACTGTTCAGAGCGAAGGAAGGTAGACAGCTCTACCACTCTCAGAGCTGCTAATTACCTCAGCCTTCCGCTTGATTGGAAGACTCTGGAAAGACTATGATGGATGGAGGGAATTTATAGTGGGATAGAAAATCCACTCAGTTTTGTGTTTTATAACATTTATTTCAAATGCTAATAAATTTTCCAGACTATATTTTGAGGTCATGTGAAATCAGGAGCAAAATATGAAAAAGGAAGGCTGAGAGAAAATGATTTTGTATTATGACATCAGTGATACAAATGGTATTTCCAAAAAACAGAAGATAAAGAGAAACAGTCTCTCTAGGTAACAGACTGTATTATTTTAAAACGATGTTTGCTTTTATTCCTGAAATCTTTTGATACTCTTCCAACAGGGAAAAATTCAGACTTAGGCATACGAGGAATCCTTATCTTAAAAAAGAATGCTATATAAACTTTATTATATTGCTTAAATGGGATTATAATCCTATCTTGGATATTATTTGGGTCAGTGAGATTCCCCCAACCTCTAATTAAGGCTTTTCTGCTTCTGTAGTGGCCTTACCTGAATTGTTGCCTGGAACTTTTCTTTTTGATACTCTTAAGTTTAGGCAGGATGATGCATCAAGCTTTCTTTCTTTCCTTTTTTTTTTTTTTTGTTTTAATTACTCTTTAGTTAAAGTAAGAAATTTGTCAAGACACCTAAATTCTGTGAAAATCTATCTTTAGGAGTGAAAATATATGTATGGTAATAATTAGAGTGACGTTTTAAAGTGAGAATGATGGACAATAGAATACCAAATGAATATTATAAATACCTTCACTTGCCACATTATAATTAGAGTTACATTGACTCATGGTGCAAAAGTCTAGCTCTGAATCTGCTGGCTCAGAAAATCATGCATCCAAAGCGGAAGGTTTTCCCAATGAAACTTTTTTTAAATCACCAGCTCTGTTCCTGTGTGAGCACTTTTACTTTCCTCTCAGGATGCTGCCTAAGCTGGAACTTAGCCAACCTGAATTCTGCTCAGATCTGTTCAATACCAGAGCATTCTCCTGAGCCCTGAGCCTGCAGCGTGTTGTCATTTAAACTTGACAGTAATGCTTTTCTATTCACCAAAGACTTTCAGTGAAATGAGGCCTAAAGGATGCTTTCTTAAGAGGTATATGATATATTTTATTGGCTATGACTGCACACTGTGGAAAACAAAATAAAATAGAAAATGCTCTGAGAAAGAATAAATGTATATATCACGTTGGATACCTGTACCACAATGAAGCCTGTTGTGGGCATCCCAGGTGTAACTTTCAGGGTTATAAGACTAAGGTGAAAATGTTAACTAAGTTTATTAACGAGTTAAATAAGTTATAAATAAACCAATGTCATTTTTCTTGTCTTAAAATTTTCATCATTAGTAGATTGATAGTAAAAAGTAAATGCATTACTCATGCTCAAAGTTAGGCTAAAACATTTAAGGAAGTATTCAACGACAGACTGTACTCTGTAAGCCCTACCACCTGACTGCAGGCATCATTCCGCCATTTGAGTACATATGATGCCCAGTGTTTGATAGGTGAGATAAGCAAAAAGGTTATGGCTGCAGGCAAGCACCGAGTAAAGACAGAGCCTGGAGGTGGGTCTGTGCTGATTCTGCAGAGGAGAGTGTGGACTGGAATCAGGAAACCAGGGGAAGACATCTGATTAGACCAGGCTTGCTCTGAAGACTCAGAAGTACACAATGCTGGAAAGTAAGGTCATGAGGCAAGTATCAGGAGTCCATAGTCAAGAGACTGAGAAAGCAAGAATATCTGAAGCCTTGCAGCCAGTGTACCCCTTCAAGGATCTAAGGAATAAGACCCTGACATCTGGCCCTGGGGTGGACACATAGATATTGCTAGAATAAGATCCACATGTAGGAACTCACAATCTCAGATAGTGTGACATCTGGAAGAGAGGATTGTAACATATCATTACAGTTTATTATACACACAACTTCAATAGGTGTAAGACAGTAGACATTCAAATGATGTTCAGTATCTGGAGGTCAAGCGGGAAGAGTAAGTGTGCTTGCATAACCTAAACAGCAAAAAACAAAACAAAAAAAGAAAAGACCAGTCTTTCAGATTTTTCCGATTTGTGTAATAGTGAGGAATGAAGTAATGTTGGCAAATGATATACAGCAAAATATTTTCTCAGTCCCACTTTCAACTTTGAGTATAATTTTTGCTTTGAAGACAGGGACATTTTGTTTTAGAATAAATAGTAAGGATAATGTTAAAGAAAACATTAAGGGACCAATAGAAATAGGAGTAAATGCTGTAGTATTTATTTCGTCTTTTATTATTGACCCTTGCCAATCTATTTTATCAGTCTGTTCTAAACTTTCACAAGACCTTTTCAAAGAAATCATTTATGTAATATAGTAGAGATTAAACTACAGACATATTAACTGAGTATATTTACATCGCTCGTATCTTGTTTATTTCAGCCAAGGTATCTTTTAAAGTGTGAAATTGAAGATTCCATATTGAAGGCACTAGCAGAAAAATTAAAATATAAAGACTACTTCCAAAATTTAGAGAATTACTTAGAGTAAAATAGACATGATTGTTAACAGGCTTTAAGGTTAAATTGTGATATAGAGGCTTTGGTATTAAATTGTTTACTTGCAGTAGTTTGGCTGAGAGCTGGATCCTTAATGTAGTTTATGTGGTGTGGTTTGACCGGGTCAGATGGTACTACGTGCTTTCCAAGAGACTGTTTTGGTTGAGAGGTCTCAACTCACCAGGACTGAATGTCAAATTAACCCCCATTTTCAGGGAAAACTGTCTCCGCGAGTTTCATCAGACTTCCTCTGCTGTGAGAGCATTTTTTTCCAATTTGGCCACTTTTCAGTCACTTTCACTTGGTAATAAATATTGTGACTACGTCATGCACTCTTTAAAATTTCTGTCTCACATGTGTCTCCAAATTCATTCCTTCTACTTCTTGCTGTTGACTCATCCCCGCTTGTGGCGCAGAACTGCAGTGCAGGGCTGGGTGGACTTTGGGAACAGTTCTGCACGCACCTCTTCTTCCTCCCACCTCTTCATGCTCTGGTCATCATGCTTGATTTGCACATGGGAACAGGGAGAATGTTCTCTTATGGCACCCAGGATGTGTCCAACTTCCCTGGCTGAATCATTATTGCTTCTTCAAACAAGCTTCCTTCTGTGGGGTGAAGGTTCAAATGTCTGCGTGAGGTTTCTGTGGTAGACTTCTAGATGGCTAGACAGAGCTGTCTGCTTGTACAGTGCTCCAAAGCGAGACATTCAGGAAAACTGTTTGAATCTTCCTTCTAGCCACTTACCCGTGATGTGCCCAGATCAGTGCTACCAGCACCCGGGCAGCAGCAACTACTGCAGCAGCCTCACGGGTGACAGAACAACGTTAGGATCTGCTTCGGCAGCCCTGCGCTGATATGTTTGGGCCATGGTGAGCCACTGTACAAGCGTTGCAGCTCTGTTCACGAAGGGCTGCCGTGCCATGGAAATGTTCTCTGACAACGGCAAATTGCCATGCCGTGACAGTGTTACAGCTCTGGGGAGTGAACTGCTGCACTGCCGCTTACCGCTGACTCCGCTGCTTCTACCGGGCCCCGCACTGCCACTACTGCTGCCTCCACAGTCCTGAGCTCCCCAAAGGAATCACCAAGAGTCCAG